TAAAGTGTCCTAAAGTGTAATATCAGCTAACCTCATGAAACAACAGTTAGTAATACTTCAGTAGCATTTCCTGTGTGTTGAGCATTGTTCTAAATACTTGTCTTTTGTGTCTGTCTTAGAATAGAATTTGGATTCAGAATAGAGAGAAGTTTCAAGAAATAAGAGAAGAGGGAGAATTTGAATGAATTGAAAGGAGTTACAGTCCTGGAGACAGAATTGAGACTGTAGGTGTTGTGTTAAGGGGGAGGAAAAGCTTTTTCCTTGATAAATCTGTTCTCCAAATACCATTTTCCTGTGTGTGGTTTTTTTTTTTTTTTTTTTTAGGCAAGGGATAGTTTGGGAGGAGGAAGCTAGCTTGCCTCTAAGAACAGGATAGGTTTCAGGTCAGGACATGAGGTTCTAACAGTCTTACCTGTTCTCAGAAGATCCTCTGACTTGACTTTTACTACAGGAAGGTGAGCTACTTTTTCATTCTTCTCCAGAAGAACGTGAGTAGCCAGTCTGGAGGTAGCAGTAGTTGCCTGTTTTTGTGCTTTTTCCTATCAAAGGCCTCTTTTAGGCTGTGTTGGGCTCTGTGCTAACCCTGGGTTTAGCATTAAAATATCAAATGTACTTTTGCCCTTTCCTCCAAATCTCTTCTTTGCTTTTGGATACCTTAGCAGTCCTTTAAGTTGGAGAAAAGCATTTTATTAACTATTTAGAAGTTAAAACGCATAAAAGGAAAATTCCCTTTTGAAAGTGAATGTTGATTTCAATCTATTTAAAGTATAATCAGTAAATATTTTTCAAGAGTAACTGAAAAATAGAAATAACTGTTCTAATTGCAGAAAGATAAAAATTTACAAGGTTGTGGGAAAGTAAAAGCCTGTGGAAGACATTTTTAAATTTTTTTTTGCTAACTTAGCACTTCTTATTAGCATTGGCTTTCTTTACTGTCACCTGTGCAGAGGCAAATAAAGCTGCTTGGAAAAGTTTTTTTTTTTTTTCCCCCATGTGATTTTATCTATCCATGGCTGGGTGAGAATATCTAATTCTGTTATATGGTTTAATATACATTTTTGTGAAAAACAAGAGGTCAGTTTTACATTCCCCAGATAAATTCCACTGGTTGAGATTTTTAAAAAATATAGATGTGCGTGTGTGTGTATATATATATGAGAAATATATTTGATTTGAAATTGATTTTTATATATAAATAGCTGGATTTGATTTGCTAGTATTTAGTTGAGGAGTTTTGTCTCTATAGGGATATTGATTTGTTGTCTTTTCTTGTAATAATTTCTTTAGTTTTTGTATCAGAGGAATGATGGCCTTGTGCAATGAGTTGGGAAGTATTCTCTTTAATTTCCTGGAAGGTTTTTCTATAGTGTTAGTGCCATTTCTTCTTTATATATTTGGTAGAATTTGTCATTGAAACTATCTTGCTTTAAGTTTTTATTTTCAGAAAGATTTTAACAACAAATTCAATTTGTTTAACAGAATTTTTTCAGGTTGTCTGTTTATTCCTGGAGAAGTGTGGGTAGTTCATGACTTTTGAGGAATTGGTCTATTTAATCTGAGTTATCCAATTAATATGTATACGGGTGTTAGCAGTATTCCTTCGCTATTCTTTTGATGTCTGTGGAGTCTGTAGTGATATGTACTTTTTCATTCCTGATATTGGTAATATATATATTTGCCAGTTTAGCTGGAGGTTTATCAATTTATTGATGTTTCCAAAGAGCTACTTTTTGGTTTTGTTGATATAAAATTTTTTCTTTCTCTAATTTTATTTTATTTCTGCTATTATTTCTTCTGCTTTTTTTGTTTTTTTTTTTTTTGTATATTCTTTTTCTAACTTCTTAGCGTGGATGAGGAGATTATTGAGTTTTTTGTTTGTTTTGTTTTGTTTTTTGAGACAGAGTCTCACTATGTCGCCCTCGGTAGATTGCTGAGATGCTCACGGCAACCTCCAACTCTTGGGCTCAAGTGATTCTCTTGCCTGAGCCTCCCAAGTAGCTGGGACCACATACGCCTGCCAGAATGCCCGGCTATTTTGTTGTTATTGCAGTTGTCATTGTTGTTTGGGAGACCCAGGCTGGGTTCAAACCTGCCAGCCTTGGTGATGTAGCTGGTGCCATAGCCACTGTGCAGTGGTGCTGAGACAGTTATTGATTTTTGGATGCTGTTTTTGTAATATAAGCATTTATAGATCTAACTGCCCCATGTATATTTTTTAGGTGTAGTTCAGTGATTTTGATTTGTATTTTTATTTTCATTTTTTTAATTTCCAAATATTTGGGAATTTTTTAGACCTATTTCTGTTGTTTATTCCCAATTTAATTGTAATATGGTAACTGAACATAGTTTTTCTAATTTCAGTTTTTAAAAATTTTTTAAAGTTTTTTCATTGGTTTCAATGGTTTGTCTGAGTAAATGTTCTATGTGCATTTAGAAACAATGTGCATGCTGCTATTTTTTGGGGGGGGAGGTGATGTATAAATATCAGATTCTGTTGATTGATGATGTTCAATTCTTGTGTACCTTGTTGCATTTTTGTATAATTTTTCTATTAATTTTGGAAAGAGAAATGTTAGAGTCTCCAATTATAAATGTGGGTTTTTCTATTTCCTTCATTATCTATCTATTTTTACTTCATGTACTTGAGACCTCCCTTTTAGGAGTCAGTTATAGTATTCTTATGTGTTCTTGTTAAATTTATCTTTTTAACATTGTATAATGCCCTTTTTTGTCTTGGTGATTTTTTTTTTCTTGGTTGGATAGTCTATTTTGTCTTGTATTAATAAAGTAATTTTAGCTTTCTTTTGATTAGTGTTTTCATGGTATATCTTTCCCCCTTATTTTACTTTTAACCTGCCTATATTATTATATTTAAAGTGGTATTTGTTTGAGACAAGTTCTCAATTTGTCATCCTTGGTAGAGTGCCAAGGCATCATAGTTCACAGCAACCTCAAACTCTTTGGCTCAAGAGATTCTCTTTCCTCAGCCTCCTAAGTAGCTGGGACTATAGGCACCCACAGCAACATCTAGCTATTTTTAGAGACAGGGTCTCGCTCTTGCTCAGGTCGGTCTTGCACTCCTAAGCTCAAGCAATCCACCTCAGCCTCCCAGAGTGATAGAATTATCAGTGTGAGCCACTGTGCCGGGCCCAAACTGGATATTTTTATAGAGAAAATGTAGTTGTATTGTGCCTTGTTTTTAGCATAATCTGACATCTGATCTGTCTTTTAATTGATATGTTTATGCCATTTATATCTAATATAACTATTGATATATTTCAATTCATGTTGATCTTTCTATTATTTGTTTTTTGCTTATTTTCTATTTTTCACGTCCATGGTTTCCCCCCATTCCTGACATCTTTTGGATTATTTAAACATTTTGTTAGTATTTCACTTTTGCTGTATCTCTTTATATGATTCTTTCAGTGGTTATTTAGTGGATCCAGGGCTCTGTTTCTTGTGTATAGAAATGTGATGAAAATTTGGTTAGTTTAAACATACCCACTTAACTTTTCATGTCTGTCTTCTTCTTTCTCTATTTTTTATGCACTAGACAATTTTAGTTTTCATTATTTGAATTATTTTGAAAATATGCTTGAAGTTTGAAGGTGATTCAGAATTAATGCTTGAAAACAATGAATTAAAATAGTTATATTTTCATAACTTGATTGCAGTACATGTACATATTGGAGATAATTATATCTTTAAAATGCATGTATTGTTATTTTGTGTTTTTTTAGAACTTAATGTTTTGCTATAAACATCATAATTACTAAAAATCTATTCTAGTCAATTGGGATGTCAGAAGTATTATTATATTTAATCTTAACAATTTGAAGTAGGTATTGTTTCCATTTTATTAATACAAATACCATGGCTTGCCAAAGTTACATAATTTGTCCAATATTATGCATATGGTCAGTAGCAAAACTTAAAATCCATATTTTACCTCTAGTCATTATCTCACATGTATTTATTGAATATCTACTGTGTATCATATATCATATAACATCTGTTTGAAATCAACACCATCCTTGTCCTTATGACAGTTACTGTCTTGTGGATAAGACAATATTCAATCAATAGATATAAAAACAACATGTAATTAGATTAAATGCAATAAAGGGGAAGTACAAGGTATAATAAGAATCTTTTGATGGGAAATTTAGATAGAGGAGGGTTTAGAAACCTCTTTGTAGAAGTAGTAACATTTGAGGTAAAGATTCAAGGTGGCTGGAAATTAGTCAAGAATAGGAGAAAACCTATATTGGCAGAGAGAAAAGCATATCCTAAGGCTTTGAGTTGGGAAAGAGTTTAAAGGGATCAAGAAGCTGAAACAAGGCTAGACTGGCTGGAGGATAGCAACAAACTTTGTGAAATGGAGCTAGAGACAGAGAGACAGGGACCAATTTATCTAGGACTTTAGACCATGCTAGGGTGCCTAATTGATAGTTGCCATAAATTTCCCTCCTAAATGAAAATGTCTATTCAGACTGCAGATTATTCATAAGGTAAAACCTTTACTTCCATGAAATAGTTTTAATGGGTATAGCCGATATCTCTACCTCAGTATAAGGTTGTCAGTTTTATGAATCCAGCATCACTTGCTTATCTGTCTGTCCTAGAATCTGAAGTGTCTTAAGATTTTCTGGTAAAAAGAAATTGAGTTTTTGCAAAATGGTTAGTAGGTTTCATTGTACTGGTTAAAATAATACTGGAGTAACCGATATTTAGAATATCATGTGAAGACTAATGCATTTTAAAAGTTTTTCAACTTCATTTGGCCCTGTACAGAAAAAATTTGCTGACCCTTGTCTTAAATAAACTGAATTTCAAACTGCAAAAATAAAAAAGTTTTTAAACTTCAGATTTACTAGATCAAATGTAACAGACATGTTTCTTTTCCTTTCAGCCCTTTTGAATGAACCATTGAAATATTATCATTTATTGCTTCCTTTAAATTTCTGAGATTTAAAATATTGTTATGTCTTTTTCAGTCTGAGGGAAAGGGTCATACCAATGCTGGAGATGCAATATATGAGGTGGTGAGTCTACAGCGAGAATCAGACAAGGAGGAACCAGTCACTCCTACTGGTGGAGGGGGTCCATTGTCACCCCAGGAGGATGAAGCAGAAGAGGGTAAGAAGTTGAACTTGGTTTCCTTTATTTATATAGTTGCTTTACTTATGGTCTTCAAAGGGGTGTGTGTGCAAGAGTGGGGAGGAGTGGTGGTTAATCCTAGTTTCTGCCACTCTTAGGCTAATGGTTCTTAACCTTTCTAATGTTGCAACCCTTTAATACAGTTCCTGTGGGTTGTGACCCACAGGTTGAGAGCCACTGGTCTGCTAGAAAATAGATTCTGCTAGACGGAAAAGAGAGTTTGATTCATTTTGTTCCTTTGTTGTATGGCCCCCAGTGCCCCTTATGCAAGTATTTAAATTTGACAACATCACTGCTGATTTTCTTTCCTATTTTATTTCAAGTATTTTTGAAGTATGTAATGAAGTTTCAAATTCTCTTGTGTTTTTAGAATTTCAGTTGTAGGTACTACTTCTCGTTTGACATTATTCAATTCTGATTTGTATTTTGTTGTTGCTGTACCACTTACTGCTCAATTTTGTCTTAGCATGATATCTGCTATGTTTACTACATGGGTGCTGCTGAAAGATGCTAACCATCTCACAAGAATCACACATCATTTAGTTCTATATTTAGTATTCTTTTTTTTTTTTTTGAGACAGAGCCTCAAGCTATCCCCCTGGGCAGAGTGCCGTGGCATTACAGCTCACAGCAACCTCCCACTCCTGGGCTCAAGCGAGTCTCCTGCCTCCGCCTCCCAAGTAGCTGGGACCACAGGCGCCCGCCACAACGCCCGGCTATTTTTTTTTTTGGTTGCAGCCGTCATTGTTGTTTGGCGGGTCCGGGCTGGGGATTCGAACCCGCCACCTTAGGTGTACGTGGCTGGCGCCTTAGCCCGTTGAGCTATAGGCGCCGAGCCTATATTTAGTATTCTTAATAGAAAATGGAGCTAAATGACAGGTTTTTACTTTATGCTCTTATATTATCTGCTTCAAGGGAATGATTTATTAACAATAAATTTCTGAATTTGTCTCCTGTTCGATAAGAAAGCATCTTAGAATTCTCAGTCTTTCTCTGTGATGAATTCCTTTCTTTGTCATAAAAATCAGTTATTTTAAACTAATGTTTATTGAACACTTACTATATGCTAAGGTCATTTAGAGTATTTCAAATGTGTTAACTTATTTAATTCTTAAAATCTTATGAATACACTCATTAACTTGGTTTTAGGGATAAGAAGCTGAGACACAGAGAGCATAATCATTTGCTTAAAGTCACTCATCTAGAAGTGACAAAGCTGAGATCTCAACCCAGACTATTTAATTTTAACATTCATACTTGTTATGACATTATTCTGTCAAGTTAGCCAAGCAAATAAAACACATAAGCAACTCATTTTTTAAAAACTAAGGTAAAATTCACACAACAAAAAATGAACTATTTAAAAGCATACAATTTGATGGCATTTACACATTCACAATTTTGGGCAACTATCATCTCTGTCTAGTTTCAAAATATATTCATCAGCCAAGAGGAAACACCATACCCTTTAAGCTGTCGCTCCCTGTTCCCCCCTTTCCCAAGTCTCTGGCAACTGCTAATCTGCTTTTTATCTCTATGAACTTAACCTGTTCTGGATAATTTTTATAGAAATGTGACCTTTTGTGTCTGGCTTTTAATCTTGCTTAACATAATGTTTTTTTGGGTTCTCTCACATGGATAGGTGGTATAGCATAAATCAGTATTTCGTTTCTTTTTATGGCTGAATAATATTTAATTGTGTAGATATACCACATTTTGTTTACCATTCATCTGTTGGTAGATATTCTTAGATTAATCCTATACCTTGGCTATTGTGAACAACTATAATAAACATGAATTTTTTTTGACATATTAATTTCATTTCCTTTGGATATATACCCAGTAGTGGGATTGCTGTTTTTTCTAGTTCCATATGAGGCATAGAACAATTTTTTCAAGATCTTTCACCTCTTTAAGTATATTAACCAAAGTATCAAGTAATGGTATTGAGTGCTTTCTTCATTCAACTCTCAGCTTTACTATTATTAGTGTATAGAAATGCTATGGATTTGTGTACATTGTTTTTTCTTCTTTAGCTATTGATGTACTGGAGTATATTAATTTTTGAATGTTCCACTGTGGTTATCTAGTTAGGACCCTCTACTTTCTCATGCTTTTCCAGTGGTTTCACCTGTTTCATAAACAAAAGTATTAGATTACTCTTATGTCTTTTTTGCTCCAGTGTATGAGCTACCAATTATAATTCCTTCTTTTAGCTTTCTCACTTTTGAAAATAGGACATTTGACTGATTTTTATCTAACAATTTTGATATAAGTGTTTTGATACAGAACCACGAATAATAAACTTTAGGAAGGTATAACTTACATACAAGAGAATAAACCTATTTGAGTGTATAGTTCATTGAGTTTTGAAAAATGTATACATCTGTACAACTCACATCATAATTATGATATAAACATTTTTGACACTCCTAGCACATCTGTCTTGTCCCTTTATAGTTTATTCTTTCTCTTCACCTGTGGACCCTGGCAACCACTGATCTCTTTTTTGTTACCATAGTTTGCCTTTTCTGAAATTTCATACAAATGGATCCATTTAGTACATAGTTGTATCTGGCTTCTTCACATAGCATACTTTTGAGATTTATCTATGTCCTGTCAGTAGTTTGCTTATTTTTATTGCCAAGCAGTAATCTATTGTATAAATACACTGCAGTTTGTTTATTCATCAGTTAATGGACCTTTGGGTTGTTTCTAGCCATTGACTATTATAAATAATACTGCTAAATATATTTGATTACATTCTTTGGCAAATGTGTGTATATGCTTTCATTTATAATAACTTGAGTCAGTACCTAGGAGTGAACTGGCTGGATCTTATGGTAAGTATATGTTTAACTTTATAAGAAACCACCAAGCTACTTTGCAAAATATTAATAGCTATCTGTTTTCCATCCTGATCAGCAACATATTTGTTAGTTTCTCCATATCTTTATCAACATTTGGCATTGCCAATTTTGAAAATTTAGCTATTCTAGTGGATGTGTTATGGTATATTGTGGTATTAATTTGCATTTCCCTAATGACTAATGTTTTTATATGATTATTTGCCATTTGTATATCTTCTTGTCAGGTATCTATTCAAATATGCTAGCCATTTTTAAATTGGGCTATTTGTCTTACTGATTAATAAGTGTTTTTTTATGTATTATGGATGAAAGCCCTTTATCAGATATGCTTTGCAAATATTGCTTACATTCTGTAATTGGCATTTTCATTTTCTGAAAGTCTTTTGAAGAGGAAAAGTTTAATTTTTATGAAGTCTAATTTGTCACCTTTTTTTCTCTAAGGTTTGTACTATTTGTGTTCTGTCTTATAATTCCTTGCCTAACTCAATGTCAAAAGCATATTTTTCCTTTCCTAGATATTTTATACTTGTCGTATATTTAGGTCTATAATCTTTTAAAATTTAGATACAAATTGCAAGTAGAGATCAAATTTCTGTTTTTTTTTGGCTTAAATAACAGAAAACATTTATTTTCTCATAAGGTTTTTTATTTTGGGGGGGGGGTCCAAAATTACAGAGTGACTTGTCTGGGCAACTCTGGCTAAGTGTTTCTCATGAAGAGCCAGAGATTGTTTGGGCATGTAGTCATCTGAATACTCACTGGAGGGACTTAAAGCTTTGAGGAGTTCCAAAGGGCTTGCTCAAATAGCTGCCAAAATGATACTGGTTGTTGATAAGAAATATTCTTCTCCCCCCATAGGGATTGCTTGGATGTCCCTACGATACAATGTTTAGCTTCTTGTAGGAAAATCTAAGAGACCAAGGTGGAAGCTACAGTGCCTTTCTTTTCTTAGCCTTGGAGTCATACCTCATCACTTCCACAGTGTTCTTTTGATCACAGAGTTCAGCCCTTATTTTTCATTGTATGTTTCTACTGTCTTCTCTAGTAGACTTCTAAGAACACTGTGGCCAGTCATCCCCATCCCATATGACATGAATGGGAAAAGAACAGAGATTCCATGCAGGAGATTTTTAGGCCAGAGCTAGAAGATGTGCACATTCTTTCCTGATAAACAAGAACTGTAGGAGAAATTGGGGAATGTAATTAAGCCTTTGCTCAGAAAAGAAATAGATATAAAAAGCATCTACCAGGAGGTTATCTTGAACACAAGATTTTAGGTAATGTCATGCAAAAATACCATTATTTTTAGAAATAAAAAGTATGTGGAACTATAAAGAGAACAAAATTAATAGAATAGAAAGTGCTATTCAATAATAATGTATCATACAATTTAATATCACATAATTCTGCTTTTTGCTGTAATTTAGTAAAAAATATTCCTCACATCTATATATTCCACTAACTTTGGAGAATGATAACTAATATATATTAAGTATCTGTTTGTGGCATATAAAGTATTGGATATTTAATACATGTAGTTTCATATTGTACTCATATTAACCTTGGCAAATAATTATTGTTATCTTTATACTCATGTGGGGAAAAAGACTAAAAGATTTTCAATATATCATTCAAGTCCATAGGGCTTATGAGCAATATGTACACAATTCAAATCTTATCTTTCTCACCCTAAAGCTTCATTTTCAATTGTTTAAAAGGTAATATTTAAAAAATTACATTTATAGATAAGATGTTCTAGATCTTATATATTCTAGATAACATTCACAACATGTTAGATAACATTCTGAATCTGTCTAAAATTGCAGTGTTTGGGTAGAAGGATGTAATATATCATAAAGTGAAAATAGAACATGAAACTCTTTCTTCCAAATAGCATTTGTTTCGGGAGCTTTCATCACATTTGAAAGCATTTTTAGAGTGATTTCAAGCAGATACAGATAAACTAATGTATTGTCAGGGACCTTTAGGTCTAGAATATTTAAATTATGTCAGCCATAAGTCATATATACTTCTGTAAAAAAACGGTTGTAGAAAAATCTACTGGCAATCAAAATATTCTTTTCTAAAGAAGTTTCTTAGACAACAGAC